TCTAATATTCATATCAAAAGGCACAGGACATAGTAAGTAACACAGTCCTGAGGAAGAAGAATATGCAGGACTTTCCCAGTCCAATGTCAGGACTTATCATAAAGCTCTGCTATTTAAGTTAGTTTTTGTTTGGCTTGGGGTTGACAATCTGTCCAACAAAAATAGGATACTGCCCTAACCGGTTTGGCTCAGTGGATTGAGTGTCGGCCTGTGGACTCAAGGGTCCCAAGTTCGATTCTGGCCAAGGGCATGTACCTTGGTTACGGGCACATACCCAGTAGAGAGTGTGCAGGAGGCAGCTGATCTATGTTTCTCTCTCATCGATGTTTCTAACTCTCTATCCCTCTCCCTTCCTCTCTGTAAAAAAATCAATATAATATATTTTAAAAAAAAGGATACTGATCCCAGAAACCGAACCCAGTAGATGTGCAGGAGGCAGCTGATCTATGTTTCTCTCTCATCGATGTTTCTAACTCTCTATCCCTCTCCCTTCCTCTCTGTAAAAAAATCAATATAATATATTAAAAAAAAAAGGATACTGATCCCAGAAACCGACCCCATGTATGGGGAGGACAATGTGTGACAGAACTGGTAATGCAGATGAGTATAGGAAAGATCCTCCACATTAAAAGACAAAAGGGGGGAAAAAAGCATTGGAAAGATTCTACACAGAGTAAACACTAAGAAATTATATCATAGGCAACTGGCAGCAAAAAGGGTTTTTAAGCAGCAGAGTGGCATGCTTTGAATTATATTTTGAGTTAATTCCTATTTTCATGGGTGACTATTAAAGGAATTTTCCCAATTTTCATTTGCTAGCAAAAGGGAAATATTGCACATCTATGTTGTGCATCCTTTTTAAAAAGTCTGTTAATTACTTTCAGGAAAAAATATCCAACTATTTGACTAGTCCTCTTTTAGCTTTCCTTGCAGCTCATATTTATTATAAGTTTTCTTTGGCTACACTGAAAGTCTCTGTCAATCTTAAACTGCATACACTTGCTTTCTATTTCAGTATTATTTATTTTCTAAACTTCCTTTTTCATGTGCATTATACAATACTTGCTCTATGAATTGTTATTGACTTATAGACCATGGAATAATCTGTGAAAATCTATGAAAGAAACAAATGTTTCATAATTTACTTTGAAATATGCTTTATTCCTGCAAATACCATAATCTTTAAATTGCCATGAACAATGTAATTGAGCATTTTGAGTATTTGAATCCAACAGTCAGATAGTAACATGAAATAAGTCATAAATCTGGGAGTATATGAGATTTGATTTTGAAGTATTCTTCCAAACAGAACAGCAGTTTTTTCCACTGTGAACCCATCCCTGCAGTCTCAGTGGGGATTGACCCCATCCTCATCTTTAGTGGAGGGCTTCATTGGTGACCCAGTTTGGGCCAGTCAACTGTTAGGAGAGGTTCATGCTGTGATTGGGAAAGTTCTTCCTTCCTCATTTGAAACTATAGGAAACTGAGGGTTGGACATGAATGAGGAAGTATGTCACTTAAACTACCACTGGCCACTATATTAAATCAGGAAAAAAGCAAGTCTCAGACTGAAGCTCACTTTGTGAGTAGCAGAATGGAGAGACCAAAGAAGTTTAGGTATTTTATGAAAAGCCAGCTGACCTTTTGCATACATAAACATCCATTTGAAAGCCAAACCCTATTCTTGAACTTCTTGTTGCTTATGCCATTAAATTATTTAGTGCTGAAGCTATTTGAAAGTTGGGCTTTCTGGTTATTTGTGTCAAAAGCATACAAATTTATTCAAAGGAATAATTATAATATGAGGGCATGCAATTCAGATAAAGGTTCTTCTATTTGGAAAAATGAAAACCCAGAGGCCGAAACTTATTATTTAACTAGAGGCCCAGTGCATAAAATTCATGCACAGGTAGGGTCCCTAGGCCTGGCTGCCGATCTGCAGGGCAACCAGCAGGGTGATCAGTGGGGAGGCGGGGTGTCTGCTGGCACCTGCCTTGGCTGGCCTTGGGGTGCAGGGCAACCAGCAGGGTGATCAGTGGGGGAGGGGGGGTGTCTGCTGGCACCTGCCTTGGCTGGCCTTGGGGCTGGGGGAAGCTCCTGCATTGATTATCTGCCCCCTGGTGGCCAGTGCGCATCATAGTTCCACCGTTCAGTTGATTTGCATTTTAGGCTTTTATTATGTAGGATTCTAGATAGTGAAAAATATATGGAATTATTAATTTACACTAGCCCAGTGATTTCCAAACCTTTTCATCTCATGGAACACATAAACTAATTACTAAAATTCTGCAGCACACCAAAAAATAAATTACATTTTTGCCAATCTGACAAAATAAATAGGTATAATTTTGATTCATTCACACTAGATGGTATTGTAGTGTTGGCTGTTGTCATTTTTTTGACAAGCTAAGGTAAAACAGTGCCCCTGACTAAATACTTAGATATTGCGTGTTTTGAAAATTTTTGCAGCACAGCGTTAAAAATAATGAATTAAAAGACTTTTTGAGTTAATAATTGTTGATTGAACAAAATATTTCTAAAGCATTTAAAGATATATAGTAGTTTATTTCACCAATGTTGGGTATGTAATCATGTTGTCATATTAGTCTTCATCTGAAAATATTTTATTCTCTTTCACATTTTCTTTTCTTTTTATGATTTCAGAGAAGAATGAAAAGGGAGAGAGAGCTAGAAATATCAATGATGAAGAGAGATTCTTATTGATTGGCTACCTCTGGAGGCCCCACATTGGGGATGGATTCCACAACCCAGGCATATGCCCTGACTGGGAATCGAACCATTACCTCCAGATTTATGGGTGGACACTCAACCACTGAACCACTCCAGCCAGGCTTCTTTCACATTTTGAACTTTAAGTCAAATGGATATTTGACTTCATTCCCAATTTACTCAAATAAATGTCTAAAAACTTTTCATATTATTTAATGTTTTGTGAAATTCTATTGCACCATGCCTTTAACATCAGCATTAAAACTTTACAAGAAGAGGATTATTTACAGGTCAAAATCTTTGCAGTAGTTTCATCAGATTAATATCAGGTAAGATACTCCCAAAATGTGTTCCAGCTTTAACATTATTTGATTCTATAGCTTATTTTGAGTAGTTACAAGAAAACGAACTACTGCCTGCAGAAGAAAAAGAATATAAATTCTAATGTCTCAATGACTGGCTCTGATTTCCAATTAAAGTCTCTTTAATAAAAGCTGTTGTGTTGCTTTAAAAAATAAACTGTATAAGGGAGAAATATCTGTCTCTATCATAGATAGAACAACCAGAACAATTAGAATGTCAGAATTAAAAGCACATTGTTAATATTTTCAATTTTTGGACCTACTTCTCTAATAAAGTACTTGATTAAAAAAAAAAACATGCATCCATCCTAGCTGGTTTGGCTCAGTGGATAGAGCATCAGCCTGTGAACTGTAGGGTCCTGGGTTTGATTCCAGTCAAGGGCACATGCCCAGATTGTAGGCTCAATCCCCAGTATGGGGTGTTCAGGAAGCAGCTGATCAATGATTCTCTCTCATCATTGATGTTTCTCTCTCTCTCTCTCCCTCTTTTTTCCTCCCTGAAATCAACAAAGAGGAAGGATATATATATATATACACACACACATGCATCTGCTTTATTGTCTACAAAGCACAAATGTTTTCTGGCAGTATTTTGAGCCTTTTTATTTCTGGTTAAAAGGAAAAATAGCTTTGAGGCTTAGCTAATTATTTTCTTAGAGATTTTTTACAAGTTTGAAAATTTAGCTTTATTGAAAATTTATAATAAGAAAAACACTCCATATAAAATATAAAATCTATAGAAGTTTTAAAGTAAATACTTTAAAAATATCTAACCTTGATGAACAGCAAACTAAAATGGTTTCATGAATTATCTCTTCTATTAATTGTAAAAGAATAAAGACTTCGGAAGTTTTTAAGGACAGAGAGTTGGTGTGCGTGAATGTGTGTCACAGGAGGAGCAGAAGGGAGAAAGTGAATGAACAGAGATACTTAAGCCAAAACCGGTTTGGCTCAGTGGATAGAGCGTCGGCCTGCGGACTGAAAGGTCCCAGGTTCGATTCCGGTCAAGGGCATGTACCTGGGTTGTGGGCACATCCCCAGTAGGAGATGTGCAGGAGGCAGCTGATCGATGTCTCTCTCTCATTGATGTTTCTAACTCTCTATCTCTCTCCCTTTCTCTCTGTAAAAAATCAATAAAATATATTTTTTTAAAAAAAGAAAAGAGATACTCAAATCCATTGTTATAGATATATCAACCAACAGTGATTAATTAATTATGTGTTCATCAAAGAAAAGTAACTTTTAATAATATAAAATAATTAACACCTTATTCAGAGAAATAAGCTAACTATGTTTCATTTAATCATATATTTATAAAGTTAAGAAATTAATTGTCAAAGTATTTTGCTCAAAATATCTTCATATTTTACTTGAAAGATTAAGGCTAATTAAAATATAATCATTCAGAAGGTAAATGAAAAAAGAAAGAGAATGAGAGAGAATTTTCTTTTAAAGAAGCTCAGATAATATAATGTTGTTACAAAAGGGTGACAATTCCTTTACTGCCAATAATGTCTATCAGTGCTCAATAGCAACCCAATAAAATTTACAATGACATAAAACATAATTTTGTACCAATATCTTATAGATGCAGTGAGTGACACTTTTAGAAATGTTCCTGTTTCTGTTGACCTATAACATAAAATCTAAGTAAAAGCACCGTTGAAGATTAATCATCTGGACATCCCTGCCTTCCATTGAGATTTGATTATGAAGCCCCCAATACATAGAAATATGACAAACCACTGTGACTAAGGCAAAGGAAATAGGTGCTCACACTTGCAATAGGCAGGAGAGAATCAAATGTGAGCCATTTCAGAAAACCTTATGCTAATGTTAGTAATGTGACACCCAACTATTGAGCATTCTATCCCAACCTAAATTACTTTTTTTTTCCTGATTCTACAGGTTTCAGTTGTGTTTGTTATTATGGAGATTCCTTTCTAGAATTTCAGAATATATTTTTAAATCCACAAAATAATATTCAGCTCCTATGGACTTCTGCTCTACATCAAGCAAGACTCAAATTTAGTAAACGGATTTTTTATTCAATTATTTATTGAAAATGGTACTTTGCAGGTAAGCCATTAAATTTATTGAATTTAAAGTAAATTTTAGGAATTTATTGTAATTTTTCCTTAAATGCTCATCTTTCTGAAGTAGTATACTCATATATATCAAAAAATTGTATCAGATCATAGAAATTAAACAGATAAAAAAGATTAGTAGTAGCAATGTTTTTATTCATTTATTTTTTCAATCATTCATTGAACATTTATCTGTTATTTACTTGGCTAGGTACTAAAGATTCAATGGTAAATAAAACACATATTGTTCTCCTTATGTTGCTTCCAGTTTATTACAAATAATAATAACAATGGAACTAGAGCAAGAAAATATGTAATGAATAAGATACTAGAATAAGTCATCAAACATCAGTCTGACCCTCTGAGATACAGTTTGCTGATCCCTGGTCTACAGCATTTTTTCTTAATTAAAACCAGAAATTTCCTTTAGTCTTATAATGATCAGAAAAAAAAAATACAGAGACAAAATGTAAGCAATTTTAAAGCAAACATAATATTGAGCCATGGTCATGTTCAGAATGTTTTCTCAGCAGATTTTCTGCTGCTAACTCAACTGCCATAACTGAGTGTATAGCTCAGCTAGTTCCTCTCACCGCTGTGGACATCTCGAATTAGAGACATTACAAGGAATGTCCAGAGACTTGTTGGAGCTGCGGGTGAAAATATTTTATGAAATAATGGATTAGGAAACTTCTTTCACTTTCAAATGGATAAAAATAACTTCATGATAGGTCGAACCAAGACATTTAAGAATTGTAAAATGTAATGAGTAAAGAGAGGTGTAGAATTTCTTTCCTTTAGTTTTTATGACAAAGAAATGATATATATTAACATGTCTGTAATAATAATGTCTATTGTTTATTGAATTGAAATTATGTGTCAGGCTCCATCATAAGAAGATTTATTAAGAACATGGACTCTGGAGCTAGACTGTCTGGAGTTTGAATCCCAGCTCTGCCCCTTAAGAGCTTTGAGACCTGCAAGACACTTAAGGGCCTTCTGTTTCAATTTACTGACTTAAATTTACAAATGAGGTTAATACAAGTCGTTGTGAGGTTTAAATTAGTAAGTAAATAAATATCGTGAAGCAAATGCAATACAGTGAACGAATAAGTGAGGCATATAAACACGTAGAAGAATACTTGTGGCATGTTAATCAAATGTGTCACAAGGTTCCTGTGGACAAACTAAGGCTCTCAGAGAGTTTGGTGTTATTACACATGCTCTTCAATCTTTTTTAAAGATGATAGATCAATAAGTTTTACTCTGTGTGTCAATACAAAATCCATGTTCTTTCCACTCACATCACTGTTTCCTTGTAATGATTTGAAGGAAATTTCATCATTATTCTATCTTTATGATTTTAAAATCTTCCTTGTACACCTATGATTTGCCAGACTATCCTCCAATTTCCTCATCTACTTTAAAAGTATAATCATATGGGGAATATATTTACATTACAATTTTAACAAAACACATATTTGTGGTTAAACTTTTACAATGATCATAATTTAAGACCTATTCAAATTCTAGACATGGAGAATTGTTAGTCAAATAAATTTTAGGAAATTTAAGCTTTCAAGTTTTATCAAACTTAATTTTTAAAAACATTTTATTGTTTCTTTCCTATAAAAAGGAGGTAAGTAGATACATCTACAGTAGGGACTCAAATATCAGCCCCCCAACTTATTAGCTGTGTCACAGGTTACAGTGTCTCCCTGGCTGAGGGCAAATCACCTATTTCCACCTCTGTTTGGTAGAAATAATAAAAGGATAATTCCTAATTCATATATTTTTGTTTGGTTTTACTTTTGTTTTGTAAGGAAACAATCAGTTGATGCTTGTAAAGTGCTTTAAAATCCATGATAACAGAGTCATTAGTCAGTAGCAGCAAATCTGTTTCTTATACAATTATAAATGAGCTATTTATGATAAGAGAAAATGTAAGTAAAATTAATAGAATTGTCCATTAAATATTTTATGTATGTTTAACTTTGACATCCCTGAAGATAATAGAAATTACTATCTTAGTAGTACCTGAAAAATATTTTTTAAGTATTGTTGGTTAGTACATTATTATTTAAGCTTAAAAAACTATCTTAACCAACAACATAGATTTCTAAGTGTTATACATAAGAAACAGATAAATTATCCTCTGTAGTGTCAAAAATATTAAATGTATTCTTTAGTAGCTTTGGTTGTATACTGGTCACAAGGTAAAAATTTAGTAAATAAACACTGAGTTTTACTTAGTTTCACATGGCTTGAGAAAAATATATAGCCAAATATTATGCAACTTATTTTCCTGCAAAGTGCATGGAGATGTATTTATTTTTGAAAATCTCAATACTGTTTAAAGTATTTATTAAAGTGAACCTGGAGCAGATAATATTATAAAGGAAAGAAACCTTTTGCAATGCCCAAATATCATTAAAAAATAAAATACATAACATTCTATTTCCTTTTGGGCTACATTTGGGAATATTTAAATATATCAGTTTAATATAGCTGGATGCATAGGAGTTGTAAAACACTATGCAACTGTTTTTCTTTAACTTATATATGGATTACAGATATCCTGTAGAAATGAGGAAGACTATAAAGCCTTTTTCTGGGAAAGAATGGCCACAATATAAGTGGTATACATCCAGGCACATGCTGTTAAGAGGATAAATAGGAAGTGCAGCCCATTCCTGAGATTCCCAGGGATGTCTGGTCAAACATACCAGTTATAGACATAATTTGCCCCTTTTAAACTATAACTCAATTGGCCCAATTAGCAATAATTCTACAAATGGCCATAGGTATCCTCAAGCCTTGGAAAGTTTAGAGTGTATGGTTAACTTTCATAATCTTTAAGGTTCCCTTCCTGTTAGGTTAACATTACCCTCTAGAACAGCCGTGGGCAAACTATGGCCCGCGGGCCGGATCCGGCCCATTTGAAATGAATAAAACTAAAAAAAAAAAAGACTGTACCCTTTTATGTAATGATGTTTACTTTGAATTTATATTAGTTCACACAAACACTCCATCCATGCTTTTGTTCCGGCCCTCCGGTCCAGTTTAAGAACCCATTGTGGCCCTCGAGTCAATTTTTGCCCACCCCTGCTCTAGAATGTATTCACTGGTCTTATACATTGAAGGAAAATTGCCAATACCTGTTCCCTGCTGACAGAAGAAGCAGCCTTTCTCAGCTCAATACTGGAAAAGAAACCAGAAGTGTGTGTGTGTATGTGTGTGTGTGTGTGTGTGTGTGTGTGTGTGTGTACGTGTATGGTGTATATATGTATGTAATATTTATACATTTATGTGTCTTAATCCTAGCCCTTATTAGGCGTATAACCTTGAGCTGTCACTTCTCTTTAAGTTTCAGACCTCTTGTCTCACTAACACAATAAGAAAAATTATTGGTGAATTGTAAAGTCTAATGCAAGTATAGGATGTTAGTTTCACACAGAAAAACTGAGGAAAACCTTTTTTTCTCCATAGCACCACTTTTTCTGTGCTGGTGAAGCAAAATTGCAAAGCATTAACACTACAATTAAAGTAGATGATGGACAAAGGTATTCACTGCTTATCAGGTAAGATATACTTATTTTCTTTCCCACTTAATCTTTTAAGTAGCAAAGACTTCCTCTGGGTATTGTTCTTGCCATTTGAAAGTAGAAATTATCCTGATTAGTATTCACATACACTTGTATGTGAATTAATGTTTATCAACCCATTCTGCCTTTTCTATGTGCCCTTAAAATAGTGCTGGGGAAAGAATGTTATAAGGATTACATTATCAACAAACTTACATAAGAAGATTATAACAAAGCCATAAAAGCCTCATATTATTTTCTGCTTACAGGAGTCATGAAAAAAACTGGTATTTTTCATATAAAAATTAAATATATTTACATTAGAAAATTCAGAACATCCAGAAAAAACCATAAAGAAGACAATTAAAATGATCCATTATACAATAGTCAAAATAGAAAAATTAACATATTATTATATTCCCAAAAGCTGTGTTTGAAGATGACTTTATTCCAAAACCCTCACAAACATCAGGTATCATTCTGCCAATCTGATAAGTGAAAGTGACATTTGCCCTTAATTTGCCTTCTTCAATTTTTAGTAAGGTTTAAATTTTAATATAGATTTAGTGTCTTTTTGTTATGTGTTTTGCCTCTTTCACCTTTAAGTGATGCTTTAAAACACCTCCATCCTTATCTAATATGTAGATTGAAGTAAATTATTTGGTTATGACAATATATTATTGTATAATAAAAGTTATTATCTACTTAACACCAATAAAGAAGAAAGTAAAGAGGCCAAAACGAAAACTGGGAAAAGAAGTTAAAGAAAAGGTTCTAAGGACATTTTACCTTCCTTAGACCAGAACTACCTAAATCTTGTTGTCTAAAGTACAGATTCTTAAGAAAATTGACCAAAAAAACACACAAACAGTTTATTATCAACAAAATTGAGGAAAGGCTACTTGACATATACCTCTCCTGACGAATGATAATGTGCATGAGCACTTGAAGATCTCTGTAATCCTGTTTACTAAAATCTGACATGCTTTGCTTAACTCAAGACATGGACACAGAACCCTTAACGCTTATTTGCTTAGCATTTTCATTTCACAAGTAACTATTGTCGAGGGCAATGCATTATGGGAAACGCTATCTGCCTAGGTAATAATTTCTCAGCTCAGACACTCCCACTGTCTTGGGGGAAGCAGGTGTATGAGCACTGGGGCAGCAGTAGGAATCATGTCACAAAAGATATTTTGGCTCCTCCAGGAAACTGAAAGACAAATGAGAGGTGATGGGAGAGGCAGAGGGGTGCACCAGAAGAAGCTGTCCGGCCTGGGGTGTGTTGGAAAAGGTTTAAAAAATAAATGAGAACACAGCAATTATAGTTATAGTTTATTATACACCAACTTTGTGTCCATTAGTAATTATATTACATATATGAATTTTTTGTTTCAAAAAGCAAATTTAATTACTAACCAAATTCCCTGATGCAAAACTAAAGATAAAGAGATTAAATGCTGAAAATAACATAGTTAGAAAAAAGAACAGTTCGGCTACTCTTACTCCAAAACTATGAATAACTTTTAATTCATGTGCCTTCTGACCAATTATAGAAAATATAATTTGATTTCTTATTTTCTATCCTAAAAGAGCCTCTATGTTCAAGATAAGATAAATACAAGGATTATAAATTACCTGCCCACTAAACTACAAACACATAACTGTATCTAATCATCAGGAAACTCATAATGCCCTAATGCCCATTGTGTTGATTAGGCTGGGCTGCTTCACAACCTACCACAGACTATGTGGCTTAAACAACAGAAATTTAATATAAAATGAAGGTATTGGCAGGGTTGTTTTTTTTCTGAGGCCTCTCTCCTTGGCTTGTAGATGACTGTGTTCTCTATGTCTTCACATAATATTCCTCAATGTGTATTTGTGTCCCTATTTTCTTCTTATAAGGACATCAGTCATGTTGGATAAGTGTTAACCTAATGACCACATTTTACTTATTATTCCTTTGAAGGCTCTGTCTTCAAACACAGCCACATTCTGAAGTACTGAGGGTTTGGATTTCAACATATGAATTTTTGGGGAGACATAATTCAGTCCAAAACACTCATTTTGCATATTTGGAAGCTGAGACTAGGAGAAAGTAGACATCTTTCTTGTTAGCCTGCCAGCCTGATCGACCCCAACTGCCCTCCCCTACTGGCCTGATCGCCCCTAACTGCCCTCCTCTGCTGGCCTGATCTCCCCTAACTGCCCTCCCCTGCCAGTCTGATCACCCCTAACCACCTCTGCCTCAGCCCCTGCCACCGTGGCTTTGTCAGGAAGGACATTCAGAAGATGTCTGATCTAATTAGCACATTACCCTTTTATTATATAGACTAGAGGCCCGGTTGCCAGTCTGACCCCTAACCACCTCTGCCTCAGCCCCTGCCACCGTGGCTTTGTCAGGAAGGACATTCAGAAGATGTCTGATCTAATTAGTAGCATGGTCTAATTACCATATTACCCTTTTATTATTATAGATATCAGAGGGGATCCAAGATGGCTGCATTCACCTCCTCCCAGGACCAAACTGGGATTACAACTAAATTATAGAACAATCAACCTGAATGATCAGCTGAAGACTAGCTGAACAGAAGTATAGTATTTTATGTACCAATAATAAACTACCAGAAAGGGAAAGACAGGAGTCTGCTAGAGACACAGGCACAATCTTAACGGGACAGTGCACAAAATCTTGTTCACAGACACTCGTCCTGTGCTCCAACAGAGAGAGGGCAGCTCATAGCTAACTGGAATTGTATGAGGAGAGACTGGGTTGTGTGTCTTGGGGGATGAAGTTCCAGGGACAGCTGCCAGGGTCCTTGTGCTGAGTCCCTCTCTCACACTAACCACAGACACCATCTTTCCTGGCTCAAGTACTCCCCTCCATACTGCTTCAAGCTGAGGAAATGCACTAGCCTCACCCTCCCAAATCCCTCTCACCCCACCTTTCCAAGCTCACACCCTGTAAAGCCTGATGCCTGGGTCCAAGGTGTAGACTTTCTTTGAGGACTCTTGAAGTTTGGGGGGACTCACGGGGGTCAGAGACTTAGTTGTGTGGCTCTGGGGTGGGACAATTTTTCTCTCGCATACATGACTGGCCCAACTGTTCCTGTTCAGAACTCTCCTTTGCATGGCCAAATCATGGTCTGCTTTGGGCCTGCTGAACTATGCTGGCCTCACCCAGATGACTCCCTGAGATCCTGTCCCACAACAAAGCTCCATAGGCCCCCAGGCGGTTCTAGTGGAAGCTTGCCTTGGGTGCAACTTGGGCCCCTCCTATGCATACCCATGTCCAGCAGAGGCAGCAACAAATTTTGGATCACTTTGTAGCTCCAAACAGGTAGCTCAAGGCAGGTCACAGGCAGTTTCTGACATTGACATGCATGATGCCCTCCCAAGAGGCCCCAGAATGAACAAAACCACTGGCCTTAGACCACATCAGAGCACAACTCAATTAGCCACACAAGTGGCACATCCAGAGGGAGATCCTGGCAGGTACCAGACTCTGCTGGGGCAAATTCCACATCATGGGCTCTGCTTCCGCACAGCAGTTCAAAAACTGTGGTGTATCTGGTTTGTTTGGGTTCTATAATTGTAACACTGTTGCGGTCCTGTTCACTCCAGCTCTGAGATCCCGGCTGACTGAAAGCAAGGATCTGCGTTTGTTCTATAATTGAAACAATATTGCGGTCCTGCTGGCTGAAGCCCGGCTGGCTGAAAGCAGGTTTCTGGGGTTTTGTTTAGCTTCTATATTTGTAACAATGTTTCTTAAACTGCAAGCTCAGAGGCCAGCAAGGCAGGCGGGGAACATTGGCTTCCTCCATCACTGAAGCAAGCAAGCCTCCTGTTCGCTTCAAGCTGCCTGGCTGCCGGCCGCCATCTTTGTTGGCAGTTAATTTGCATATCGCCCTGATTAGCCAATGGGAAGGGTAGGTGGCAGAGGTACGGCTAATTACCATGTTTCTCTATTATTAGATAGGATTATATTTTAAGTCCTAATTAACATCTACCCATGTTCTTGAAGAGAACAAAGATAGAAATAAATTAGGTTCTTTCTACCTCCTCAAATATGGGACTTGAAAGTTTTCTTTAAGTGCCTACCATTAAAAATGCATCATGCATTTTAAAAATCCCTTCACTTTCTTAATCTTAAGTTCCATGGTCTACATCCTGATTTATAAATAAATTGCATAAACTCCATCCATTCTCTTAGAGCTATCTCATGGTGATTTTTTTGGTTTGGCCCTTTGTTTGGGGGTAGGCAGTTCCTGAACTAAGATCTGTACAGAACCAAATAAACTAGGACAAATGAGAAACATCTTCAGTTACCCTTGAGAAAACCATTCATCAATTACTGTTTATGTATAATTTTGTAGATGTGTAATAAATTATGGTGAGTTTTTAAAAAGAGGATAGTGGTTATGTGAACAGTAAATGAGATTTAAGATGACTGACCTGTAACAATGAAACCACACATTCTCTCAAGTGATATAGAAATGGATACAAAGCCTGTACTACAGGCTTAAATGATGATAGGAGGGTGTTTCTTAAGTCAGTAATAATATCAAAGGGGAAGAAGAAGGAAATAATGTATATTTGAAAGCATTTAGGTAGGAAAGAGTGAGGAAAAGATTGGAAGTACAAAGATAGTCAGTTAATATTGGACATCCAGTGCCACATTAAGAACTATGAACTACATTATATGCAATATTGACCTACTGGAGAATTTTTAAGTAAGAGTACAGATATCAGGACCAAATGAGTATTCACTTTCCTTAACAGGGTATGCTAAGCTACGGTAGATAATAGACTAAATTTCTGCACCTCTGGAGATCCACTCCACAGTGTCTTCCTCTCTGCCTTGGTCCCTTGTAATTGACGTGTATAGATTACATTAGTGGGCTCTGTTTTGAAATTCTAACTTTCACTATCTCAAAATGAGACCCCACCTATTTTGAGATAAGAGTCTTTAAAGAAGTAATCAAGTTAAACTG